GCAGGGAGCCTGATGTGGGACTCGATCCCGGGACTCCAGGATCATGACCTGAGCCGAAGGCAGTCGCTTAACCAACTGAGCCACCCAGGCGCCCTGTAACAAACAATTCTATGCAGAGTGTCTCACAGGATCTTCTCTTGTCAGACGGAAGTCTGACTAGTACAGTGGCCGCTCACCATTTGACGTCACTGCTCAGACCTCACTCAGGTGCCCTCAGAAATCCCCTCAGACATAGGAAGCTAGAGTATAGGGACAGGGGACCATGAGTAGTGTCTGGATAGGAACTTCTCTCCTGTCACAGCGAAAGGGAAATGAAAGTATTTTCTAAAGATTCCCAAATTTGGTAATCTCATGAGGAGAACCAATCAGTGTTTTAGAACTAAGCCATATCATAAGTTGCTGAGCAACACCTTGGGTTGAAGCTGCTATTACAACATATGAAATGTTTTTCAATAAAATGCCTCTAAGTTTACCATATGTTTACTGAGAGCACCTTATAAGAACAAATTACTATGACAGCCAGCAAAGGGCAGGCATAGAAACATCATACTAGTTTTTTCCTCTGAAAGAGGAGACGACAAGCCTAAATCGTAGGACCAGACTCTCAGCAGAGACTGGTACTGTAGACCTCTCATCTGGCCCATTCCTTTGCCTCCAAGAAGTGTATTCCTTAACAATCTCAGGGCAAAACTGTGCTGTGGGTTTCTTCCAAGTGGTCTAGAAGTCAGTGTCAGAGAATCTTCAAAGCCCTTAGACGCGATCAGATAATCCATATGTATAGGGTTTTTTTCCCCTCGTGATTTGTGAGGGCAGCTGTGGGGCAGGATAAGATGTCAGCACAACAGTGTAGAAAATCCACCCTGAGCATATGTGTCATGACTGATATTAAACAATGAACTCACCATCTGAACAGCTGCTTCGCTGCCAGGTCTCTCTATATTGGAAGTATTCAGATTCCAGCCCTCTCTGTGTGTGGTTTAATTTTCCTTTCTACTGTACTGTATGGTCAGAAACATGAGGGTCAGAGTGTCTTAACTTTCAGTTTTCTCAATGATGAACATCAGAATAAATTCTTAGGATCAGAACTTCCATGATT